GTACCCGCCCCTCCCTTCCTCCTCCATTATTACAGCGCTTTTTGTAATATGTGAACTCATCCACAAAATACAAAGGCTTCTGTGAATGGGCAGCAAGGGGAAAGATGGGTAGTGCGCTGTGTGTGTGTGTGTGTGTGTGTATATATATATATATGTGTGTGTGTAGAGTTTTTCTCTCCTCTCAGAGCCCCAAAGTGTAGAAATATCTTTCCTCCCAGAGCACCATAAAACTGTCAGGTGTAAATAAGAGAAGTCCAGGAGGTGGCATGTTCCTTGTTGGACTCAACTCATAGTGTGCCTGCGCATTTTGTTATGTAACGTGAAATTTGTAAATGGAAATCTTATTGGTGAATATTACATTGTTTTTAAAGCTGATCTCTAGGAATTCAGCCACTTGCAGCCATACTAGGAGGTAAATCCAACAAGGTACATGTCACCTCATGGACCTCTCTCTTTAATTTACATTTGACAGTTTTATGGAGCTGTGGGAGATAGTTATTGCTATACTTCAGCACTCTTGATGCTGAACCCTCTTCTCGCTGCGAGTTGCATGCAGCTGCTGTGCCCCACCCCTCCCTTTTCCTGCCCTATTGCAAAGCTTGTGTGTAATATGTGAACTCATCCACAAAATACAAAGGCTTCTGTGAATGGGCAGAGGTGTGTGGTGTGTGTACACAAAGGGGTGTGTGTGTGTACACAAAGGGGGGGTACGTGTGGGTGTGTGTACAAAGGGGGGGGGGTACGTGTACAAAGGGTGTGCGTGTATGTGTACAAGGGGTTTGATTCACCAAAACTGGGGAGTGCAAAATCTGTTGCAGCTGTGTAAAGTAGCCAATCGCTTCCAGGTGTTGACAAAAAAAACAAAACTTTCATTGAGAAAGCTGATTTGCTACCATGCACTTCTGCACCAGATTTTGCACCCTCCAGTTGTAGTAAATCAACCCAATGTCTCTCCTTTCGGAGCCCCAAAGTTTAGCTATAGCTATCCTCCCAGAGCTCCATAAAACTGTCAGGTGTAAATAAAGAAGTCCAGGGGGTGGCATGCACCTCATTGGACTTGACTCGTAGTGTCTGCACATCTTACGAAGTGATTGAGCTTTAATGTACAAAATTCAGCTTTAATGTACAAAATCAAAGAACACATGTAGGACCTTCCAGAGATCGCCTGTTGTGTAAATCTTTTGGGAATTCTGACAATATATTTGTATCATATGTACACGAATCTGCTATCTGAGGACAAGAACCTCTTCAGTGCTGAATTCTGGGATGAACAGTTAGTTCCTCGCTCTTATATAGAATGTAACAAGTTGGGTATCCTGACTCTTCTGTGTGTCGTGTCATTTCCTTCATATGGCTCCCCATTCCCACCAACTTCTTCTTTCACTCACCTTTCTCCTACAACTTTCATCCCCCCGAGCCGCGCCGCTTCTCTCCTGCATGTCACCATCTGCATTTGTTCTAAATTCTCTGCTTGAGCATTGTTTTGTGTCTTCTGCCCTTTTTTTTTTTTTTTTTTTTTTTTCCCGGTTTTTTTTTTTTTTTTTTTTTTTTTTTTTTTTGATTTTTTCTTTTTTGTTTTTTGCATGTATTTTTTGTAACAGAATTTTTTTTTTTCTTTTGTGGCTATGTTTTTTTTTACCTACAGCATACCCAGTATGGCCTGCATTGGTTTATTTTTATAAAAGCATCTTTTTGGCAGTTTGTCCCCCAATGCATGAGCCCCCCCCCCCCCCCCTTATTAACCATGCCTTTACATGCATGTGCTGACTTTTTTTTGGTTTGTCCATGTCCCACTCTTGCCATTCATCTGTTGCAGCCTTTCTCAACCAATTTTTCCCCCAGAGGAACCCCCCAAAAATAAGATGTCGGGAACCCTTTAATAATCATCCGGGGTCAAACGGAAAATGCCGTTTGCAGTAGTGGGTCAGAACGCCACCCTTAGAGAAAACAAAGGTCTGTTTCACATGGGCTTCGGCTTGTACAAGAGCAGTGTGAACCGTGAGCTTTGTAGTACCAGTCAGCTCCAGTTTTTTGACCACAGATGCTAATGGTAGTGTTCTAAGCAAGCTGATAGAGGAAGTCAGTGTTGAATGCTACATCCTCCCCCATATAGTAATTCGGGTCAAGGTGGTTCTCTGTTCTGGGAGGATGTCATATGACATCCTCCCATTCTCACTGCGCATGCGCGGCTCAGGGAGAGTGTGGCGATTCGGCGGGGTGTTTCCCTCGGACACAGAGGATCACCGATCACGGAAACAGCCGAAGATGTCGGCTTGGTCATGTGATTAGCTTTGTCCAATCACAGCTGATCACATGTAAACAGGGAAATGCCGGTTATCAGCATTTCTCTCCTCTCGAGCTGTCACGCTGACAGAGGAGGGGAGAGCCGGTAATCGGCATTCCGCGGAGGGGAGGGGACATGGGCGCCCTGATGATCAGTGTAGCCCCAGCAGTGCGCACTATCAGTGCCTACCAGTGCACATCAATGCCACATATCAGTGCCCATCTGAGCTGCCTTTCAGTACCCATCAGTGATGCCTGTCAATGCCCATCAGTGCCTCATCAGTGCCACCTATCCGTGTCCATTAGTGCAAATCAATGAAGGAGAAAAATCACTTATTTACAAAATTTTATAACAAAAACTAAAACCTTTTTTTTTCAAAATTTTCAGTGGTTTTTGGTTTGTTTAAGAAAAAATAAAAAAAACCCCGAGGTAATTAAATACCACCAAAATAAAGCTCTGTCAAAAAAAAATAATTTCCTATGGGTACAGTGTTTGACCGCGCAATTGTCATTCAAAGTGCGACAGCACTGAAAGCTGGAAATTGGCTGGGCAGAAGGGGGTATAAGTGCCCGGTAGGCGAGGGGTTAAAGTGGCAATCAATACTACCATTAGCATCTGTGGTCAACATCAACAAGCTGAATGATACTTTAACCACTTCCAGACCAATTCTTCCCTACATGTAAAAAAATAATTTTTTTTTTGGCTAGAAAATTACCCCCCCCCAAAAAAAAAAAAAAAAATATATATATATATATATATATATATTATTTTTTTTTTTCCCCCCCCCCCCCAAGCAGAGACCCAAGAGAATAAAATGATGGTTGTGGCAATTGTTTGTCATATGCTTTTGCACAGCAATTTTTGAAGCGCAAATAAGAGAGAAAAAAAAAGAGAGCAAACTTTAATGAATTTTAATACAAAAAACACTATAGAACCCAATTTTTTGGTAAAATATGTTATCCCAAGTAAGGTGGATGCCGAAAACACATGACCGTGTGTTTTGGCATCCATTTACTTGGCATAACATATGTTACCAAAAAATTGGGTTCTATAGTGTTTTTTTTTTTTTTTTTTTTTTTGTATTAAAATTCATTAAGGGGTTTTTTTTTTTTTTTTTTTTTTTTTTTGATAAATTGCTGTGCAAATACCATATCACATAAAAAAAAAACAATTGCCACAACCGTCATTTTTATTCTCTTGGGTCTCTGAAAAAAAAAATATAATAAAAATATTTTTAATTTATTACAAACCATTTAAACATCCCTTGTAATTGGGCTGAGGCATAACAGATCTCTTCCTTTTGTGGAGAGATCTGGGGGCTACCCGAGACCCCTCATCTCCTCTATGCTGGAAAGCATAAGATCAAAAAAAAATTCTTAGGCTTTCCAGCCAAACAAAAAGTCCATGTTTTACATCTGCCAGAGTTGGAGGTGAAGTCATGATATCACTTCCGACCTCCCAGGATCATAGAGGCAGCCGGGGACCATATGGTTCACAGCCAGTTCCATGGTAAACCGCCACCGCTGGATCGGCTCTCCAGCTCCCTGATTGTACGGAGAGGCGGCGGGTAGGAGGCACGACGTCCCTTACTGATGCCTGTAGAAGCAATCCAGTGGCTGAGCCGCCGCTAGAATGGCTTTTACATTGTAGGCAATCGCAAGCTGAAAAAAAAATGATCTGGATGATGCATGTAGCTGCAGCCAGGGGCGTATTTACCACAAGGCACTTGCCTAGGGCGGCATTTTTCAAGGGAGCAGCACCTCCCCCCAGAAGAAGGGATGAAAGAAAAGACAGACACGCGCACTGTGTGAACCAAGTGGGACCCGTGAGAGACTGCTTGATGGTGTATGTAAAGCCTGACTTTTGTTCCAAGCCTCTTCCGGGGGGGGGGGGGGGGGCAGGGGTGGTGTTGTCAATGTCAGGCTCTCCCTGTGGGATGGGGAAGGGGGGGTTGTGTTGGTCAGTGTCTGTGGGGTCAGACGATGTTTGTGTTGCCTAGGAGAAGCACAAAACCTAAATACACCAATGGCTGCAGCCACCATCCAGATATCTCCACTCAAACCCCTGGATGACATTTATGACGTCCACCCGTGCGGGGGGGGGGGGGGGGGAGAGAGTACTGCTTATACCTGCTGAAGACCTTGTGAAAAGATCGTTGGTGTCCTGCTGCCGGCTCTGCCAAGTGGGGATGGTCTTGGAACTATGGCGGCATCACATAGGGGGGTCAGTGAGCTACAATGCAAGGAAACCCCCGGCAAACCTCTGAAGGAACTATGGGGTTCCATGGAACCTTTGTTGAGAATGACTGATCCATTGTATACCACATCAGTACGTTGTGTTCATTTTTATCTTTTTCCACAAATGTCCGTGGTCTTGTTGCCCAACCATGTGCATTGTTCATTACACTTTCATTTGTGTAACCTCTTGTAGACCCAGCCTTGTGGCACCATGCCTGCCCATGCAAGGACTTCAACATACACTGGGCACCATGTTCTTGGCCTGGTGTTTTTTGTGTTTTTTTTTTTTGTTTTTTTTTTGCTGTTTTAAATGGACTCTGATTTTAAGTGCCGCAGTCTTCAGATGGCTCAGTCTTGTTTGGCTTGAAGGTCCTGTCCTGTCTGTTCTGATGTTCCTAAATTTTCTCCAATTTTTGCTTCCTTTTCTGCTTTTTTTCTTTTTCTATCCTCTTCTGTTCCTTTCGCTCCCGACTTCCCAGGTCGGTTTTTTGACGAGAATGAGTCCCCTGTAGATCCTCAACATGGTTCTAAAGTGGCAGATTATAACGGGGATGATGGGAACGTGGGTGAGTACGAGGCAGACAAGCAGGCAGAGCTGGCTTACAATGAGGAAGAGGATGGTGATGGGGGAGAAGAAGATGTACAAGGTGAGCGCGCGGCCGCTATCCGAATGTTCTCTAAGCTACCCCCCCCCCCCCCCCCCCAAGAGTGGCCATTACTGGGAGTCTTTTAAAATGTTGGTTTTTCGCTTGTCTTTAGCTTTCCAGTCTAACTCCATGTTTAATGTCCCTTTTTTTTTTTTTTTTTTTTTTTTTTTTTTTTTTTTAACCACCTCCCGTCCGGCCCATGTATATAAACGGCCGGACGGTGGCAGTGCAGGGTCAGGTGGCCGTTTATAAACAGCCTCCCCGCCCCCTGCTTGTGCACGCTCCCTGGGACGCACAGCACCACGATCCGGTGCCCGCTGTGTCCGAACACCGATCTCTGTACGGGACCTCTGTGTGAGGTACCTTATATTGTACACCCCTTGAGGGTTAGGCACTGATGGGAATGTTATTTTTTATATATATATATATATATATATCTCTCTGCATAAAAAATTGATGGCGCTATATAAGTACCTGAAATAAATGCGATCACTGATTGGCCAATCGGTGATCACATGCAGAGTAGTAAGCAAAATGTCACTTCTGACGACATTGCTTACTACGTGTGAAATCTGTGAATGATCACCGAGATCACATGGTACAGGGCTGAGAATCTGTGAAAAACTGAAGTTAAAGAGAGGATTCACAACAGCCTTGTACCATGTGACAAGCTGTGACCAATCACAGCTCTCACATTATTTCTCAATGGCTGATGAACTGAACTGTAAAAAAAAAAAAAAAAAAAATTAGAAAAATTATTTTTAACTATAAACTAATATTTTTTTTTTTTTTTTTTTAACTAAAAAGAACTGAATAAGTTTTGGCCAAGATTTATGAAGAAAGATGATTATTTGCAAAAATTTTATAAGAAAAAACACTTTTTTTCTAAATCTTTGGATTTTCATCTATATAGCAAAAAAATAAAAATCCCAGTGGTGAATGCCACCAAAATAAAGTTTTCTGCCTCAAAAAATTTTTTAAATTCATATGGGTACAGTGTTGCATGACCGCGCAATTGTCATTCAAAGTGTGACAGCGCTAAAAGCTGACAATTGGCCTGGACAGGAAGGGGGTGAATGTGCCCAGTAGGTGAGGGGTTGAAGGTACATTAAACATGGCGTTGGGCTTTAATGCCTCAAAAAATTTTTAAATTCATGTGGGTACAGTGTTGCATGACCGCGCAATTGTCATTACTCAGACTGAAGCTATTTATTATCACGGCAGCCGGGAAACTAGCATTTCTAGAAGCTCATCAATGCTACTGCTGCATTTCTCCCTCGATCGCGTACTGTATACAGTCAGGTCCATAAATATTGGGACATGGACACAATTCTAACATTTTTGGCTCTATACACCACCACAATGGATTTGAAATGAAACGAACAAGATGTGCTTTAACTGCAGACTGTCGGCTTTAATTTGAGGGTATTTACATCCAAATCAGGTGAACGGTGTAGGAATTACAACAGTTTGCATATGTGCCTCCCACTTGTTAAGGGACCAAAAGTAATGGGACAGAATAATAATCATAAATCAAACTATCACTTTTTAATACTTGGTTGCAAATCCTTTGCAGTCAATTACAGCCTGAAGTGTGGAACGCATAGACATCACCAGACGCTGGGTTTCATCCCTGGTGATGCTCTGCCAGGCCTCTACTGCAAATGTCTTCAGTTCCTGCTTGTTCTTGGGGCATTTTCCCTTCAGTTTTGTCTTCAGCAAGTGAAATGCTCAATCGGATTCAGGTCAGGTGATGGACTTGGCCATTGCAGAACATTCCACTTCTTTGGTTGCTTTTGCAGTCTGCTTTGGGTCATTGTCCATCTGCACTGTGAAGCGTCCAATGAGTTGTGAAGCATTTGGCTGAATATGAGCCGATAATATTCCCGAAACACTTCACAATTCATCCGGCTGCTTCTGTCAGCCGTCACATCATCAATACATACAAGAGAAGCAGTTCCATTGGCAGCCATACATGCCCACGCCATGACACTACCACCACCATGATCACTGATGAGGTGGTATGCTGAGGACCATGAGCAGTTCCTTCTCCATACTCTTCTCTTCCCATCACTCTGGTACAAGTTGATGTCGGTCTCATCTGTCCATAGGATGTTGTTCCAGAACTGTGAAGGCTTTTTTACATGTCGTTTGGCAAACTCTAATCTGGCCTTCCTGTTTTTGAGGCTCACCAATGGTTTCCATCTTGTGGTGAACCCTCTGTATTCACTCTGGTGAAGTCTTCTCTTGATTGGTGACTTTGACACACATACACCTACCTCCTGGAGAGTGTTCTTGATCTGGCCAACTGTTGTGAAGGGTGTTTTCTTCACCAGGGAAAGAATTCTTCGGTCATCCACCACAGTTGTTTTCTGTGGTCTTCCGGGTCTTTTGGTGTTGCTGAGCTCACCGGTGCGTTCCTTCTTTTTAAGAATGTTCCAAACAGTTGTTTTGGCCACGCCTAATGTTTTTGCTATCTCTCTGATGGGTTTGTTTTGTTTTTTTTTTCAGCCTAATGATGGCTTCACTGATAGTGACAGCTCTTTGGATCTCATCTTGAGAGTTGACAGCAACAGATTCCAAATGCAAATAGCACACTTGAAATGAACTCTGGACCTTTTATCTGCTCATTGTAATTGGGATAATGAGGGAATAAACACACACCTGGCCATGGAACAGCTGAGAAGCCAATTGTCCCATTACTTTTGGTCCCTTAACAAGTGGGAGGCACATATGCAAACTGTTGTAATTCCTACACCATTCACCTGATTTGGATGTAAATACCCTCAAATTAAAGCTGACAGTCTGCAGTTAAAGCAGATCTTGTTCGTTTCATTTCAAATCCATTGTGGTGGTGTATAGAGCCAAAAATGTTAGAATTGTGTTGATGTCCCAATATTTATGGACCTGACTGTATTCTATCCATACATTTGCATGCTTCTGCAGTACCTTTTTTAAAAGTGGAATGGATAGTATTCCACTCTGCTTAGTATGTCATTCCTGTGCATGTTATATTATTCAACACATTTCAGGCTTCTTGTTGGCGATACAGAACGTTTCTGCATGTTCCAGTATAAAATGTTTCACTTGCTGCTTTCATAAGAGCAATGTGGGTTAATGGTGCCTTTTTTAGTATCTTTTTTTTTTTTTTATACTGTTATTTTTACAATTTTGTTTAAATTATTTTTTGTGTTGTGGCTTTTTTTTTTTTTTTTTTTTTTAAATAAATCTTGTGCTTTTATTTTCTTTTTGTATTGTAATCCTAGGCCATAGGCCTCCTGCACATGGGAGCTCTGGCCCATCGGCATCAAATCCTTGCCCAGGTCCATCATTCAGCCCCACTTCCAGCAGTTTGCAGCGATAAAAGCTGCAGCGAGCTGTACTTTTTTGTTTTTTTGTTTTGAGGTTTGTATGCATTCAGGGACATAGGTACCAAACGCAGAGATTCTGCATTCTGGGCCTACAGCCCTAAATCCGAGTACTGTTTGGTACAGCATCTAACCATTGCACATTACAGCTCGTCCAATATTTTGTCTGCTGGAAGAGGGTCTGGGCGCTGTACCCGTTCCTCCCCCTTGCATGTAAACTGTGATTTCTGCTGATTGGCAGCACCACCTATGTACTTATGTAGCCTTATGGAACAACCGGGGTCACTACATCAAGCCAGAAGCATTACAAAATGACATCACAATCCTTTCCATTCAATAAATAGTGTGAAATATTAAATGGTCAAAGTGTACAGTATCTCCCAGAAGTGAGTCCCCCCCCCCCCCTCACATTTTGTGTAAATATGATTCTCTCTTTCCATGTGACAACACTGAAGAAATTACACTTTGCTACAATGTGACATAGTCAGTGTTGGGACCAATCAGCCATTTTCCCTCCCTGGTGGCATGTGCCTCGTTCATATTACAAGGTCTCAGGTGTGAATGGGGAGCGGGTGTGTTACATTTGGTGTTATCACTCTCTCTGGTCACTGGAAGTTCAACATGGCACCTCATGGCAAAGAACTCTGAGGATCTGAAAAAAAAAAAAGAATTGTTGCTCTACATCAGTGTTTCTCAACTCCAGTCCTCATGGACCCCCAACAGGTCATGTTTTCAGGATTTCCATTATTTTGCACAGGTGATTTGATCAGTTTCACTGCCTTAGTAATTAGCACAGCTGTTTCATCTGAGGGAAATCCTGAAAACATGACCTGTTGGGGGTCCATGAGGACTGGAGTTGAGAAACACTGCTCTACATAAAGATGGCCGAGGCTGTGAGAAGATTGCCAAGACCCTGAAACTGAGCTGCAGCACGGTGGACAAGACCATACAGCGGTGTAACAGGACAGGTTCCACTCAGAACAGGCCTCGCCATGGTCCACCACAGAAGTTGAGTGCACGTGCTCAGCATCACATCCAGAGGTTGCCTTTGGGAAATAGATGTACAAGTGCTGCCAGCATTGCTGCAGAGGGTGAAGGGGTCAGCCTGTCAGTGGGGCCAGCATTGCTGCAGAGGGTGAAGGGGTGGGGGGTCAGCCTGTCAGAGCTCAGGCCATACGCCGCACACTGCATCAAATTGGTCTGCATGGCTGTTGTCCCAGAAGGAAGCCTCTTCTAAAGATGATGACCAAGAAAGCCACAAACAGTTTGCTGAAGACAAGCAGATTAAGGACATGGATTACTGGAACCGTCTCCTGTGGTCTGATGACACCGACATCAACTGATTTGGTTCAGATGGTGTCAGGCATGTGTGGCGGCAACCAGGTGAGGAGTACAAAGACAAGTGTGTCTTGCCTACAGTCAAGCATGGTGGTGGGAGTGTCATGGTCTGGGGCCCCATGGTGGTGGGAGTGTCATGGTCTGGGGCTGCATGAGTGCTGCCGGCACTGGGGGGGCTACAGTTCATTGAAGGAACCATGAATGTGTCTTGCCTACAGTCAAGCATGGTGAATGAAATATTTACAAAAATGTGAGGGGTGGACTCTTCTGTGAGATACTGTATATATGGCGAAACCTTTTCTTTCTTGTCTGTTGAGGGACACAAGAAGTTTTAAACCTTTGGAATATGCTGTCACCTACAGGAGAGTTGCAAACAAATAGGCCAACCCAGGATCACACCTCCCCATTATCGGCATGCTCCATTTTTTTTTTTTTTTTTTTTTTGCCAGTGTCTTGGGAGGACACCAACTCTGTCTCTTCAATCCAGACTCCTCCTCTACATCTCTGTGGGAGCTTTGTCTCTGCAGCTTTCCAGATGTGCGGCGATAGCTTGGATGTGACCCATAGCGTGCTTTCCAGAGGGATTTCTGCTGAAAGTTTTTTTGCTGAGAAAGTCCAGAACTTTTGGTATTGGCTCAGTCCTTGACTGATGAGCTTACCGCAGTCTAACGCCATTACTTCCAAATAATGGACCCCATTTTCAGCTCATAGTTGATTTAGTGTGCACCCCCCTGACACTAGAGGATCAGCCTGTTGCTTCTGCTAGGGCTGTTTCCAAGTCTTGGGTTGCCTAAAAAATTTCCCTTTTTTACACCGGCTTTTCCAACTTTCTCTGTTGATATCAGAAACAACAGGTTTGCTCCCCCTATACGCTTTATTAGCCTTGTATCCATTTAGTGCAGAAATGTCCCCTTTAGCACAGTGCTTACTATTCTGGTAGAGCATGCGCCTTTCTTTTAAAGCTGAATTCTAGGAATTCAGCCACTTTGTAAAAAGTAATCGCACACTACGGGTCAAGTCCAAGGAGCTGCATGACCCCTCATGGGCTCATCTCTATTATATACATCTGACAGTTTTTATTGCACTCCCAGAAAACTCGCTAGAGCCAGACTGCTTCAGGTCTAAGCATATTCAACATTAGAGTCAGGGCAGCTGCTATGCCCACCCCTCCCCCTCCTCCTGCCCAATCAGAGAAGCCTTTTTTTTTTTTTCTTTCTTTAAGCTAAAGAGAATAAGGCAGAGGTCTCCAAATTGTGGCTGGAGGGCCAGATGTGGCCCTTTGGCTAGTCTTTATCTGGCTCTTGGGGCACTATTCCCCCCACTGACACCAATGATGGGGGCACTATTCCTCCCACTGACACCAATGGCGGGGCACTATTCCTCCCACTGACACCAATGACGGGGCACTATTCCTCCCACTGACACCAATGACGGGGCACTATTCCTCCCACTGACACCAATGACGGGGCACTATTCCTCCCACTGACACCAATGACGGGGCACTATTCCTCCCACTGACACCAATGACGGGGCACTATTCCTCCCACTGACACCAATGACGGGGCACTATTCCTCCCACTGACACCAATGACGGGGCACTATTCCTCCCACTGACACCAAGGACGGGGCACTATTCCTCCCACTGACACCAAGGACGGGGCACTATTCCCCCACTGACACCAATGATGGGGCACTATTCCTCCCACTGACACCCGGGGCACTATTCCTCCCACTGACACCAAGGACGGGGGCACTATTCCTCCCCTGACACTGGGGCACTATTCCTCCCATGACACCAATGGCGGGGCACTATTCCTCCCACCACTATTCCTCCCACTGACACCAGTGATGGGGCACTATTCCTCCCACTGACACCAATGATGGGGGCTATTCCTCCCACTGACACCAATGACGGGGCGCTATTCCTCCCACGGACACCAGTGGCGGGGCGCTATTCCTCCCACGGACACCAGTGGCGGGGCGCTATTCCTCCCACGGACACCAATGACGGGGCACTATTCCTCCCACTGACACCAATGACGGGGCACTATTCCTACCAATGCGGGGCACTATTCCTCCCACGGACACCAATGACGGGGCACTATTCCTCCCACGGACACCAATGACGGGGCACTATTCCTCCCACGGACACCAATGACGGGGCACTATTCCTCCCACGGACACCAATGACGGGGCACTATTCCTACCAATGACACCAATGACGGGGCGCTATTCCTCCCACCAATGACGGGGACACCTACCAATGACACCAATGACGGGGCACTATTCCTTCCCACGGACACCTAAAGTCTGAAGGACAGTTAACTGGCCCCTTGAAAAGTTTGGAGATCCGTCTGCTCTATTGGAAAAGTGATTTATGAAGACCATGGAATATAGCTTGTATTGACGGCTTATAATACTTTAGGTTTAATGACACTTTTTGTAAAAATGTAGACCGCTTGCAACTCAGATGCTTGGTATGTGAAGTGAGTTCCCAGGGCTACAAACAAGACCTTTTTTTTTGCTCCTTCTCACTGCTTGGCTTTTCACCTGCAACCTTCCTGTGTCTCCTCACTGATTAGTAGATCTCCATCCAGTCCTCCCTTGGGTGCTTCTGGATCAAGGAATTGTTGCCCCGATTCCTGATCCAGAATGGTGAACAGGTTGGAGTAAAACCCTGAGAACCATTCTCAAGCCCAAAAGGAGCATTTAACCCATTCAGGATCTCCAAGCTCTAAATGTCTTCAGGTACAAAAATTCCTTATGGAATCTATCAAATCTGTCATCTCCTTTACCCAGGGAGACTTTCTGATTTTCCGATTTGCCAAGGCACCCCTGAAGACACCTCAAGGCACCCCGGAGTGCCTGGGCACACTGGTTGGGAAAGGCTGCTGTAGTCCATAGACATACATGGGTCTCCATTTTTTTCCATCTGTAATTGATGCCCGTGTGAAAGGGGCCTCACGAGGTGAAACATTTATAACATTGTAATGCTAACCTGTAACGTATTATTTATTCTATTTTTTTTTTTTTCCCCAGATGATGAAAATGACGGACAAGGGGACGCCGTGGAATATAGAAAAGACCATTTCGGTGAGACCCTGTAACTTGTGACCTGAACGGAAACGGATCAAACGTGCCAAGCGCCAGGGCTTTCTTGTACTGTAAGCGAAGGGCCTAAAGACCAATCACGGGTCTTCTATACACTGGTGCAGGGGGGAGTTTCAGAACTACCAATCGGCTGCTTGCTTCCCCTTACGATTGACGGAGAGGCCCAATAACAGTGCTCCAAAACCGTGTGAAAGCACCAGGTTCCAGGCCACACGTGGCTGTAGAAGTTGAGCTTCCTGACTGACGGACTCCTAAATCCTTCCTTTTTTTTTTTTCCCCCCCCCCCCTTGGGTCTGTGAATATGAACCTTTTGCTGGAAATTTGGTTCAGTTTCTTCTCGATCTTCTCTTTATAACGTCCATAATCACGACGCCCCCGAAACCATCTGGACTTTCTGAACTGAAATGTGAATACTTTTCTTGTTTTTGAAACCATGCCACGCAGGCTCGGGATGCGAGGGCGCAGTATATGTGGCAGACGTGGCCAACTGGATCTAGACCACCTGCTGTAGACCCGACCGACCCATGTGATTTGTGACCCATTCTTTGGGATGGGTCCTAGTACGTTTTTGTTTTTTCCCCCTCAAGCAGGGTCCGTTCTTCCTTGTGTAAGCAGTATGGCCAAGTACCGATTTCCTCTGCGGATATTTATATTATTTTGTATGTAATTTGTGTAAATAGACGCCGTAACCTCCATTTGTTTGTAAAGCAGAGATTGCGTCCGTTCCACGGCAGAGGTCAGCCATGAAGAACACATATCCGAGACATTGAGATCCCACTGCAGATGGATCCGAGGCTCGTGCCGCATCCGGTTTTTTTAAAGCACTCCCGTGGCATTTTGCTTCTCTCTCCTTGTGAGATGCGTGTACATACATACTGTATGTATATTTTCTGCTAGATGGGGGGGGGGCGTTAGGTGTTTTTACCACAAGAGTCTGGTGATGCTTCTCTCGGAGGATGTGATTGGTTACAGCCATAGGTAGTCGCTCCAATGCATGAATAGCAATTGACTTAGACAACTAATTGTTCGATTTAAAAAGAGAGAAAATTGTCGATTGTGTGATTCTAATCTGCTTTTTCAGAGGTTTCTTATCCCAGCACACAGGAGCTATGCGCAGCTTACTTTGTTATATTATGCATTGATTTCTAGAAATCGAAGCCCCCCTTTTTTTTTTTTTTTTCTTTTATGGGGGGGTGAAACCAGAAGACCAACTCTCTGTAATGTCCCTTTAAATACTTTGGATTTTTTTCTCTTTCTTTTATGTGGGGTGAAACCATAAGACTGTGTAATGTCCCTTTAAATATTTTTTTTTTTTTTTTTTTTTTCCTTTTGTGGGGGGTGAAACCAGAAGACCAACTCTCTGTAATGTCCCTTTAAATACTTTGGATTTTTTTCTCTTTCTTTTATGGGGGGTGAAACCATAAGACTAACTCTCTAATGTCCCTTTTAAATACTTTGGACCAAACTATTTACTGCACTTACAGGTGCGATTGCTGGGTGCGCGGTTCTAACTGTGTATAGTGTCTGCTATACAGGGGGCGTGGCCAAGATGGCGGCTGGAGCAGACGTGTGAGGGGTGAGCCGTGCTGTCCAGGGTTGTGTATCTGCCCACCTATTTAGCTGCCGTTAAAAAATTATGACCCCCTTTGTAACGGAACCGGACCCCGACTGCACTAGGGTATTTCCGTTATACTCCCGCTTCCCTGTCTGAACACAGATCCACGGACATCACCGCTGACCATACAAGACTAGAGACCACCAGACTTGGAGGAAACCTGGAACTAGACCGCTTTATTTTAACAGACATAAGATATAAACATTCAAGGGGACAACCCACCTCCCTGCATAAGGACACAGGGTGGGGCAAACCAAATCTAGCAACAAGAGACATCAGCAGACACCCCCCACCAAGCCAATACACAAACACATACATCCCATAATAGCTTGCTCCCAAGCAAGACACAAAGAACAATGGGACAACCACATGGCAGTACACAATGAACACCCCCCCCCCCCCCACACCCCACCTATAGAGGTCTACACAATATTAGGGCATTACACCCTGTACCCCTAACAGGCACAGGGTGACTTACACATAATAGGGATATGGGGAGCTGAGACAGGGGTCTCCCCAACCCTCCAAAGGGGGCTGTTTTCCATGGGATGCCCACCCAAAGTCACTCCCGTCACACTCTTCCTTCCTTCCTGCCTGTCTGCCATAACAAGGGGCAGACTGACCTCTGAAACATACAGTGTACGGCGCTGGGTCCCGGGTGAGAACTTTCCGCCCGACTCCCGCAACACAATAGTCGGGCAGGTTGGACACCCCCTGATATAAATGATAAAACTTTGTCCCGGCAGCGGGATGAGAACTTTCCATTCAACTGCCGGAACAAAATGGCATCAGGTTGGGTGCTGCTCAGTCATTCATGGAACCTTTGTGTTATATGGATGAAAACAAATCTTCCTCTGATTGGCTGAAGCAGAGAGGCGGGCGGATGATGTAAGGATCGCCACCTCTGCCAATCAACAGAAGCTTTGTATTCATAGAGTATAAAGCTCCCTGTGAATGGCTGAGCAGCACTCAGCCTGACGTGGTTTTGTTCCTGTCGTTGACTGGTAAGTTCTTGTCTCACGGCCAGAACAAAGGCGGCATACGGCTCGGGTGTGTCTGGAGGGAGTTGCAGGCATAGAAGACACGGCGGTAGATGGGGACAAGCTAGGCGCATGCATGCATGGAGGGGCGCTGGGGAGGCTGTGCAATCCTAGAAGACACAGCGGTAGATGGGGACAAGCTAGGCGCATGCATGTATGGAGGGGCACTGGGGAGACCGTGTAATCATGGAAGACACGGCTGTAGATGGGGACAAGCTAGGCAATTGCATGTATGGAGGGGCGCTGGGGAGGCTGTGTAATCATGGAAGACACGGCTGTAGATGGGGACAAGCTAGGCACATGCATGTATGGAGGGGCACTGGGGAGGCCGATCAATCATAGAACCCACGGCGGTAGATGGGGACAAGCTAGGCACATGCATGTATGGAGGGGCGCTGGGGAGGCCGTGCAATCCTAGAAGACACGGCGGTAGATGGGGACAAGCTAGGCACATGCATGTATGGAGGGGCGCTGGGGAGGCCGTGCAATCCTAGAAGACACGGCGGTAGATGGGGACAAGCTAGGCACATGCATGTATGGAGGGGCGCTGGGGAGGCCGTGCAATCCTAGAAGACACGGCGGTAGATGGGGACAAGCTAGGCACATGCATGTATGGAGGGGCACTGGGGAGGCCGATCAATCATAGAACCCACGGCGGTAGATTGGGACAAGCTAGGCACATGCATGTATGGAGGGGCGCTGGGGAGGCCGTGCAATCCTAGAAGACACGGCGGTAGATGGGGACAAGCTAGGCACATGCATGTATGGAGGGGCACTGGGGAGGCCGATCAATCATAGAACCCACGGCGGTAGATGGGGACAAGCTAGGCACATGCATGTATGGAGGGGCACTGGGGAGGCCGTGCAATCCTAGAAGACACGGCGGTAGATGGGGACAAGCTAGGCACATGCATGTATGGAGGGGCACTGGGGAGGCCGTGATCAATTCATAAACCCACGGCTGTAGATGGGGACAAGCTAGGCACATGCATGTATGGAGGGGCACTGGGGAGGCCGATCAATCATAGAACCCACGGCGGTAGATGGGGACAAGCTAGGCACATGCATGTATGGAGGGGCACTGGGGAGGCCGATCAATCATAGAACCCACGGCGGTAGATGGGGACAAGCTAGGCACATGCATGTATGGAGGGGCACTGGGGAGGCCGTGCAATCCTAGAAGACACGGCGGTAGATGGGGACAAGCTAGGCACATGCATGTATGGAGGGGCGCTGGGGAGGCCGTGTAATCATGGAAGACACGGCTGTAGATGGGGACAAGCTAGGCACATGCATGTATGGAGGGGCACTGGGGAGGCCGTGCAATCCTAGAAGACACGGCGGTAGATGGGGACAAGCTAGGCACATGCATGTATGGAGGGGCGCTGGGGAGGCTGTACAGGCATAGAAGCCACGGTAGCGGGGGGGGGGGGATGACGACAAGCTAAAAACATGCATGTATGGAGGGGCACTTGGGAGACTGTGCAGGCATAGAAGCCACGGTAGTAAACGGAGGGGGGGGGGGGGTAGGGGGGACGACAAGCTAAAAACATGCATGTATGGAGGGGCACTTGGGAGACTGTACAGGCATAGAAGCCATGGCAGTGGACGGGGGGACAAGCTAAGAACATGCATGTATGGAGGAGCTCTGGGGAGGCCGTGCAATCATAGAAGCCACAGCGGTAGATGGGGACATGCTAGGCACATGCATGTATGGAGGAGCTCTGGGAGGCCGTGCAATCATAGAAGCCACGGCGGTAGATGGGGACATGCTAGGCACATGCATGTATGGAGGGGCGCTGGGGAGGCTGTGCAAGCAACGGGCAGCAGCAAAACAGGGACTCCTGACGGCTCCAAGCAAGCAACTGCTGTTTCTAGTGAGGTGCTGGGTTACTACCTCCTGCCTGCAACCTCCCCCTATCTCCCCACACAGCACACACCAGGATTGCCAACCCTCATGAAACTCAGACTTTTTTTTTTTTTTTTATCCATGATGTCCATAACAGCCATGTATGGAGAGATGGAATACGGTTTTTACAAACAGTCTGTGAATTTACTGACCGTTGGCAATCCCGCCACATATAATGGAAGTTCAGTCCTCTTCTCTATAGATTTCATTCCAGCATGGCTTCCACATTGCAAAAGAAGACCCAACACACAAAAAAAATTAGTTGTGAATGAAAGAAGATTTTTCAAGGAAAATTGTTCCTCAGAAAGGTACATTATCTGTAAGAGAGATCGTTAACTTCTCATCCGGCCAACTTTTTTTTCTTTTCCTTTTTTTTTTTTTTTTTTTTTTTTTTTTTTTCTTTTTAATCGGCTCTCATTATTAGTGTATTTT